ACCCAGTGGCTTCCTTTCTCAGTTTCCCTCTCTGGTCAAATTTTAAAAAATAAATAAAGTTAAATAAAATAATTCTTTAAAAATAATATTGATGGAAATAAGGTATACAAATGTATTTAAGAGGCCCAGCCTGGTGGCAAAGTCAGTAGTAGACTGAACTATGGTGCTGGAAGAGATATGGCTGACCATGATTCCACTGCTCAGGTTGGCCTGAAAACATACGAGGCACATGTGTGTATGTCCAGGACCCTAACAAGCTGAAGGTCTGGGGAATGGGGATTCTGTATAATGAAACCTTGTCAAAGATGTTTCTCTCCCTCTGGGGGGGAGTGGGGGGAAACATCTCTTGGCCCTGGTGGCTTGGAAAACACACTAGGCACATGTGTGTGCATGCCCCAAATCCCAACTGGGTGGAGAAATAAAGAAGGGATTGTACACCCCATTGGAGGGTGTTTTCTCCTTCTCCCTCTTACTATCCGTCTCTGGTGAGTACACACACCCTTTGGCAATTAAAAAAATAAAGAAAAGCATGTGACAATGACTGCAATATAAGTACCGAGTCATTTTACATTTAACACAAGCTGAACTGTGCTAACTTCTGAGTCAAAACTTCTCAAGCACCTCAAACTCATAGAAATAAAGGGCACCTCCTATGAGAGAAAAATATAATGTGACAGAATTCCCTGTCACAAAATAATTTGATCTCTATTATTGTATCCTTATCAATAAGGCCTACGTATCAGAATAACAGATTTCCAGAAAATACTCTTAGCCTGAAATATATAAATCCACTGAACTACAAAAATTTATGAAGTCTAGGGAACCAGCAGTTAGAGTAATGGCTATGTCGCTGGACTCCCACATAGTGGACCACGGTTCACATCCCGGACCCGGTGGCTTAAAACTCACGCCGGGCACGTGTGCGTGCGTACCCAAGATCCCAAGAGGAGAATGGAGGAGAAGGGATTGCGGCGTGACCATCCCCTCTGGGGGGTGATTTCTCGCTTTCTGTCTGTATGTCTCTCTCTGTCTGTCTGGCGAGCGCACGCGCCCTATAGCAAAAACCTCTCAAAAAAAAAAAAATTAAAAAAAAAAAGTTTATGAAGTCTGGGGGCCAGACAGTGGGGTGGTGATTAAGGCTGCTGAATCCCACATGGCCGACTGCCCATTTCAAGTCCCAAACACAGTGGTTTGAAAAAACACACCCTGCAGGTGTATGCACATGCCCTAAATCTCAAAAAGAAGGATAAATAGAGAAGAAATTGCAGAGTGGCCATCCCCATTAGGAGTGCTTTGTTAACCCTACCCTCCCCACCCCATCTCTCTCCTGTGAGTGCAAGTGCCCTATAACAACAAAGTTCACAACATCTTCAGATATAAATCAATAAGTAAACCAAGCCCCCTCCCACAAAAAAAATAAAAAATAAATATATTTGAAGTTACAGATTAGGTGATGAACTCCTTGAATGCAGAAGGGATCACTCCATTGGAAGCCTTCCCAGAGAGTTCTCATTCACAACAGTACCAAGAGTGGAGACTCCGAAAACCAACAGATAATCCCCTTTAGATCATCGCTCCACCAGCCACATACACTCCAGGAAGTTATTTAACCTCTCTATGCCCCAGTTTCCTCATGTGTAAAATCAGAATGCTAACAACACCTTCTCAAAGAGGAATGAAATGAGATGAAGCATTTAACACAATGTTGGCAAGCAGTAGTGATTAGCTCCCATTGTCTGTGTTTATCTTTCCCTTTTATTTACTGATTTCTTTCATGAGACGGAGGGGAAAGAGGTGGGAGAGAGTGAAAGAGAGACATACTCCCAATAGGGTGGTCACACTGTGGTCCACCCCCAGCCTCAGCCAGACCATTGGCACACACGCCCACTGTCCACGTGGAGACCTTAGGACAGGAACCTGGAACCTTTCCATGTGGCCTCAGCAGCTCAAACATTGTTACTGCCGTACCATTGGCTGGCTCAGGTTTCCTTCTTTTGTGCCTCACAATTCCTTGTGGGGACTTCTAGCTTAGTAACCGTTCACCTGCATATCTCTCCCCAACTGGAATGCCAATGACCTCAGGGTAGGAGCCTGATCTTATTCCTCTTTATGTTCCCAAGGTCTAACATTCTGCCTGGCACTGCTAAATGGATCATGGAGCCCTAAAATATTTAGTAACTGGCAAAGTTATGAACATAAATTGGAACTCACCTCTTTTGTCTGACATTCAAGCCTTTGGTGATTCTGACCCCTACTGTCCACCCAAATTTACCTCCACGACCCTGGAGGAAGAAGGAATAGCTTGTTTTGCACAAGCTGTAAACTCATTCGCCACTGTAAATCCATGGCTTGGGCACTGCACCTGCACTTTACAACTATCATTTCACAGGACTGTACCATGTAATGGGGCACGTTAATAGTCACTGGACTCCATGAGGTCAAGATTATCCGTCAACCCAACCTGACGGAGAACAACGTTTAGAGTTAAGAAAGTTGCCGAAGATCACATATCTAGTTAGAGGAGGGACCAAGACTTGAATCTAAAGTACGTACTTATTCTCTACAGACTGTCTCGGCCACTCTTCCTCAAAGTTGAACTGACCCACCTACCATTTCCTCGCCTCAGAAGATCCTGGCCTGGTCTACACTGAAGGACCTTCTGTGGCACTCATCTATCATTTGTATTGTTCCTCCTGTATAGCTGTTTCAGTGTGTGCTTGCATGGAGAACTATAGTGCAAGAAAGATGGCAAGACAGGCAATGGGAAAAGCACAGATTTCCACAGACCTCGGTTTGAATCCTGACTGTCTGGTACCAGCTGCGAAATTTATCCTGAGTCTTTCTAATCTGTAAATTAAGGTTAAAATTATTAACAAGAGAAACCTAGATGTAAAACCTAATACACGGTAAACAGTCAATAAACTTTCGTTCAATTCACATTATGACGCGTTCCCTGGCCATATCCCACTCATCAAAAGTTCGTGATCCACCCCCTTCTATACTATCACTGTAGCACAAAAAGAACACTCACATTCTCTGTTGGAATGATTAATTTCCTTTTCTCTCCCACTAAATTGAACTCCCTGTGGGTAAGAGCAAAGACTTCTTTATCTCTGCATTCCCTAAGACAGTGCCTGGCATAAGTCCATACTCAGTAAATGTTTGCCGTATGAATAACTGAATCGATAGATATGAGTATTTAAAAGAAGAAATCACTTCCAGCTGGGGTTGTCCCAAATTGGTTGAGGGAAGGACAAATTCAGCTGGGCTATGGGTAGAAACAGAAAACAAATTCAGCTGATCTCAACAAACAGAAACAGAGGGGAAACAACTTAGGCAAACCAGGGAGAAAATTTTACAAAAAGCAGTGGGAGAAGAGGGGGGAGGACCAACAGATGGCGTAATGGTTACATTGCTGGACTGCCACATAGTTGACCACGGTTCGAGTCCCAGCCCGGCAGCTTAAAACTCACACCAGGCACGTGTGTCTAAGTGCCCAAAATTCAGAGAGGAGACTAGAGGAGAAGGGACTGTGGCATGGCCATCCCCCTGGGGGGGCGATTTCTTGCTTTCTGTCTCTCGAGTGAGCACACACACACACCCTACAGCAAAAACTTCTCTTAAAAAAAAAAAAGGCAATGTAGTAGTATGTGGTGGCTGACACTGTTACTTAAGGCTGGGGGTGGGAGTGAGGAGACCTAGGTTAAAATCCTCGCTCACCCTGAAAGCTAAACACAGTAGTGTGTGCCTACAGTCCCAAATACTGAGGAGACTGAGGCAGAATAGTAACATAGAGAGAGCCATCTTTAAAAACTAAAAATAAATAAAAATGTAGAAAACAATAGAGACAAGAATGAACAAAGGTGACTTGAGATGCTACTTCTCTCTAATGATGGATCATGGTGGGGTCATTACGGAAAAAGACCTTTTAAGCATAACTGAAAAAGATGCCAGGGGCCAGATTAGGTATAGGGCCATGTGAGTGCAGACTGGCACACCCAGTAGTCAAAGGATGATATGAACACATAGCTAAATGGGAAGGGAAGTACCGCTGCCCCAGGAAAACTTCAAGTCTGTGAACTGAAAAAGATGAGAACAATTAGCAATGCTTCATCAGAACTCTCAGTGTTCACTGAACACCTTGTGTAGGCTCATAGAATATGAGGAATGAAATATAGTGCCTCCTTTTCTGGTCGAATGAGTGTTAACGCTGGAGATCTATTCCTTCTGCTTGTCAAAAATAAAATGAGGGTGCAGACTTTCTTTAACTTATGTGTGTCTCCATTTGACTGTTCACACTCGGGAAGGTTTCAAACTGCTGATTTGTGTTTACAACAACATGGTGCTTTGCACAGTGCCAGGTACTGTACTAGGTTTCAAAAACTACATTCATTCAAAATGAACTTTTAACCAATTTCCAGATCAATTTTTTCGTCACCAGTTAAGGTAATATTCTTTTTTAAACTAAACCTTTTTTTTTTTTCTTCTAGCCTTAAACAGATCTAGAGGACCCCTTTCCACTCCTATAAACAAAAAATCTGATTCAAAGTTTCTGCAACGATTCAGCTGGAAAACAGCCCGAGAGGCTGTTTATCCTTTGGGGAGATGGAGAGAAGGAAGGTGCGCTCGGAAACAGGGACTACACAAGAAATGCTTTAAATACTTGACTTTCACGTTATGAAGATTAGAGCACCGGATCCTGCCTAGTGCAGGGCCGGAAACTGCTGGAGCCAACTGCACACACCTCCACCCCAACACTACCAGGTCAACTAGCGTTTCGTCCCCTACATCACACAAGCTGCTGTCAGGCTCACGACAGCCTCGGGTTCTAGAAAAGGCCAGGAAAACAGATGCTCCCGGGCCACCTGAGCAAGGGCCTGACAGGAGGCCCACAGGGTTGCGCCGAGTGCAGAGAAATGAGGGAGCCGCCAGATCCCGGGGGAGGCGAGCTGGCGAGCCAGAGGGCGAGCAAGGGAGTTAGCGGCTGGGGCAACCTTTACCTGAAGCTGCTGCCACACTAGGGCCAGGTCGACCCCGGGACACGTTCCTGGGGGGAGGGCCCGGCCCCTGCCCGGATCTCTGCACTCTCGGAATCCTGGGGGACCGGCGCTCCTCCCGGCCCGCTCAGCTGCCGTCTCCCGGGCTCGCCCTCATGCCCCTGCTGCTCGCTGCCGCCGGCCGGCTGAGCAGGAGCCCTGTTGCCCCGAGCCGCACCACGACCCGGAACCGTATCCCGGCGTACCGGAAGTCTCCAACCGGGAAGCAGCCTCCGGCGGGGCTGTAGTGCGCAAGCCCCAGAGCCGAGAGCAAGGAGCAGCACTTCCCGAGAGGCGGGGCCGAGCGGGAGGCCGTGCGCATGCGCGCTGCTTCTCGGCACCGGGAAATGGCTGGAAGCTGTATTGACTGGGGTTTCTGGACAGGTACGTCTGTCACTGGGGTATCCTTGAGTCCAAGTCAACGTTAGGGCTCTCCTTCGAATCTTTTTTCCCCCCAGTTCCAGGGAGAAAAAGCCTCAGTTCATCCAGAGAGGAGTGATGAGACAGCTTGGTCTCCGTATCAGAAAGACCTAGTTCACTCCCTGCATGTTCTAGGACCTCATGGTCTGAGCACCTGTTTTCCCCTTCATAGTAGCAATTCCACCTTTTGGGTATCGCTGCGAGAACTGAATGGGATGATGCTTAAAAGACAATCATTGCCTGACACATAACAGGCACATAGCAAATGTTGGTTCTCACGTGTAAAATGGACATGAGCGTCTTCCAGAACTGCCTGGAGGTGTTGGGGAGAAAGAAGAGCACTGGCACAGAACGAAGGAGCCCGCTGCCCGTTCTCGCTCTGTCTTTGAGGAAATCCTTGGGAAGAATTCACGGTGAAGAAGAAAAAAGCCTCACTCTGTGAAATGATAGTGTTCTCTTATCTGAGAGTCTGGGGAGTCTCAGAAATGCACCTTATGGTCTAGCTGTCGTAGCACATACTGGCTGCTACTGCTCTGTGGACTGAGGCCTCATGGGAGGCCCAGGTTGGAATATCATGGTGCTCTAAAAAGCCAGGCACAGTGCCCCACAAGTCTGCTATTGAGGCTGAGGCAGGAGGATCGTGACACAGCAAGACCTTCTCTCAGTCTCTCTCTCACACGCACGCACGCGTGCACGAATGTGCTTTACAAAAGAAGAAAAAGAAAGTCAAGGTTGAATTTCAGCCCTGTGGGACCCCTACCAAAAAATCACGCCATGGATCTACCCATGCATTCAGATATGTGATTAATCACTTACTTCCTACAGGGAAAAAAAAATGTACCCTAACACCCACATGCACTCTTGCTACACATGCCACCACAGATCCATCCAGGACTTGTGGGAGGCACTTTGCCAAAGCAACAAGTGTAGATAAGGTTAGATATTTAATTTTCCAAGGTTACCAGGTGTCTGTCCCCTCCTAAATCTTCCTTTCCCTTTTCACCTCTCTCAAGCATCAGTCTGAAGCACAGCTGCCTGATTGTCCCATACACGCATGCAACTCAACCTGTTTAAAACAAGTCAGGGACCAGCAAGTATCCTGGTGGTTGAGGCAGTGGACTCCCACATGGCCGACCACGGTTCAAGTCCTGGACCTGGTGGCTTGCTTTCCCACTTTCTCTGTCTTTTTCTCTGATGAGCACATGTGTCCTATAGCATATGGAAAAATAATAACAATGATCAATAAAATATTTTTTTTAATTTTAAATGAAAATCAGCTAGACCTGATAAGCATTTATAGGTTCTAAAGATTAAAAACCCACACTGGGTCTCCAGGAGCTCTTACAGACCGAGTCCCTGGCGGCAGCGGTGGTGGCAGCAGCACCTGGGCACGCCGGCAAATTCATTCCATCACTTAAACCTGAAAACGCTGGACCATATAAGTCTTACAGATTTCAGGTAAAAACAACCATCAAAGATGTCCAGCAAGACAGCAAGCACCAACAATATAGCCCAGGTCCAAAGGACTGTGCAGCAGTTAAGATTAGAAGCCTCCATTGAAAGAATAAAGGTTTCAAAGGCATCAGCTGACCTCATGTCCCACTGCGAGGAGAATGCCAGGAGTGATCCTTTGCTGATAGGAATACCGACTTCAGAAAACCCTTTCAAAGATAAAAAAACATGCATCATCTTATAGTGGAATTGCGAAACAGTTCCTCACCTCTTCTCAGCCGAGCAGGTTATGAGCAGTCCCTTGAAGAGATTTACCTTCAGCTTATTGGTAACCACCGCTAATACCTAAAATGCTCTTGACTTGGAATAATGGACGCTGAGGTCTTTATTTTCCAAGTTGCCCTTATTTAAAATATTCTTTACTGATTTAACACAGAATAACAATCTAGTTTTCCATTTGGTAACTATGGTATTATATTGGGTTACTGTTTAAGGAAAGTTGGTCTGGGCCTTTTTAAAAACACAATTATATACTTTAAATGTACAATTGATTCAGCTATGTCAAGACCTAGATTGCCTAAGCACCCATCAAATTAAAATGCCAAGGATAATTTAAATCCTGAAACCCTTATATTATGTTCTTAATAAAGTGTGTGCCAACCTGTATAGTATACAAGGGTGGGGGAAGGGTTGTGTATGTATGTCTTTGTGTATACACATAGCAAAGCTTATTTCCTTCTTGAAACTTCCCTTTCTCCGTACCATCAGTTCTTCAACTCCAGAAGTTACACCTTCATCTTGAGCTGTGTGTAGGTAGAATAAAAAAGTCTTTTCATGTCATTACAATACAGAAAGTAAAGAACATCATAAAGATTGTATTTGTTGTAATCAAGTTACGCGGTAATGCCTGCTCCCTTGAAATCTTGCAGGACCTCTTAGGCTACAATAAACTCTGCCAATTAAAGCTGAAAAAAAAAAAAATACTCCACTCTGCTACTTACATGTTTTGTGACTTTCCCCTCCAAGCTGCCTCTCTGAATCTCCTTATCTGTAAAGTGGGGGTGACAGAAGTCCAAACTAACCTCATTATATTGTTGTGAGGATTAAATAAGCTAATACATATAATTCACACAGAACGGAACTTGGAATGTGGCTAGCATTTACTGAATACTTACCGCTATTCCTGTATCTCAGTCAGTAACCAGATACTTATACTTATGGAGGGCCTATATAGATATAGATATAGATATAGATATAGATATAGATATAGACATATATCTATCTATAGATATATGTATATATACACACACACATAATATTTAAATAAATATTTTATTTATCATCATTATTGTTTTCAATTTTGCTATAGGGTGTATAGTGTACACTCACCAGAGAGAGAGTGAGGGAGAGAGGGAAAGTGAGAAAGTAAGCTACTGGGTCCAAAATTCAAACCACAGTTGGCTGTATGGGAGTCCAGGGCCTTAACCACCATGTCACCTGTTGGCCCTGGGCTTATTATATTAAGCTTGTCCTGGGCACTGGAGATTCAATGATGAAAGGAAGACAGGGACCTCCACCGTTAAGAAGATTACAGTCAAGTTTGACTATGGATATGAAATAGTTATTGCAACAAGCTGGCACACAGGGAGATACAGCAGGATTTCAAGAACAGTAGTGAAGGCCCAGTTGAGGATGGAGATTGAATTTATGATGATACGAATATGACAGCTTGTGTGATTTTCCTTGAGCTAGTTTGAGCAGTCAAGATACACATAAAGAGTGATAAATTGGATTAATTCAGGAAGGGATTTTGTCAGACAGGTGTGATAGGACCAAGGAGTTTATAATTTCAGCTTTTAAAAATGCTTTAAATCAAAGGGCCAAAATGTACTGGAGGGATCAGCAGTTGGTGTAATGACTATGTCACTGGACTCCCATGTAGTCAACTGCAGTTCAAGTCCTAGACCCAGTGGCTTACAACTCACGCTGGGCGCGTGTGCATGAGTGCCCCAGATCCTGAGAGGAGAATGGAGGAGAAGGGATTGTGGCGTGGCCATCCCCCCTGGAGGGTGATTTCTCGCTTAGCTTTCTGTCTCTCTGTCTCTCTCTGGCTGGCTAGCACACATGCCCTATAGCAAAACAAAACAAAACAAAACTCTCCAAAAAATAAAAAGAAAGAAAGAAAGAATGAAAGAAAGAAAAAATGTACTAGAGAAGGAAGTGAGAAAATTCTGGAAAGGCTGAAGTCACTGGCTCACAGATCCCAGACAGGTGTAACAGAAGTCATTAATGCAAGGCAAAAAGATGGAGGTCAACGTCCTAACAACCTCATACGAAGAGTCATGTGATAGTGGGGTCCTGGCTGAAATGGAACAAAGGGGAAAAGTCACGGACAATGAGATGGTCAAGGAACTCATAATCCAGGGCTAGCTAAAGGCTGGAGCTAGATCCGTCATCAAGGCCCTGTTGGGATGTTGTTTCTCTCTCTCTCTCTCTCTCTCATAGAAGAAATAAATAAACTTAAGATAAAATAGTACCTGGTTTATGGGAAGTGTTCTGTAAATACCCTGGCATACCAAGATGGACAGCAAAAATTGAGCCCTTTCATGGGTTTGTTTTAATCATATCTTGCTCAAGCCATGATTGCTTTTTTCCTTCCCACCCAGTAAACTCCTGTTCATATTTTTTAAACTTTTTAAAAGAATGATTTCATTAATTAATTTAATTTGACCAAAGAGAGACAGAGAGAGAGGGACAGTGAGAAAGCAAGCCACCAGGTCTGGGTCTCGAACCACGTTGGCCATGTGGGAGTCCAGCACCTTAATCACCACACCACCTGCAGGCCCCACTCCTATTCATTTTTTTTAAGAATTATTTTATTTAACTTTGTTTATCCATTTATTTATTTAATTTCTAATTTGACCAGAGAGGGATTGAGTGAGGGAGAGAGAGGGAAAAAGAGCAAGCCTCCAGGTCTGGGTCTAAAACCGTGGTTGGCCATGTTGGACTCCAGTGCCCTTAACCAACAGCCACCTGCCTGCCCCCCTATTCATTCTTAAGCAACTAAAAATTACAAGTATTTACTATTTCTCAAGATTCCTTGGGTTGGGACCAGCAATTAGTGTAATGGCTATGTCACTGGACTCCCACGTAGTCAACCGCGGTTCCAGTCCTGGACCCAATGGCTTAAACTCACGCCAGGCACATGTGCGTGTGTGCCCAAGACCCCGAGAGAAGAATGGAGGAGAAGGAATTGTGGTGTGGCCATCCCCCCCCCCCCGGGGGGGGGTGGTGATTTCTCGCTTTCTGTCTGTCTCTTTCTGGCAAGGACA